AAATGTAATATAAATGTAAATATGAGGGGATTCAAATCAGACTAGACAGACCTTTGGTTTTGAAGGATATCTTAATTTTTATCAGAGAATAAGAGCTTGTTTGTGTGTCCCTGGCCTTGAAAGGCTAGCTGCTGTATCAGTCTGCCCTTCCCAGAAAGGGTGCCGGTAGCTCTCAGCAGTTCAGTGAGAATTACTCCTGTTCTGTACAATGTGCACCTCAGTGCGTAAGAAAACCTGATTAACACTGCGTTAATTTAAAAGCAGATGCAGCTGGTACGTAATAAAGAGATTGCACACACACATACATGGATTTTGAGTTATGAGCATCCCAAGTTCTGGAATAGCAGAAGGTGGGAATTTCAGACTGATGTGTTTATAGAGGTACAGTGGACATAAAAGTCAAAAGTGGGCATTTGGTATAACTTGATATTGGTTTCGTAAAAAATAGATTTGGCCCATTACTGGATGATCCCAGTAATTAATCTCACTTACCAGTAAGCTGCACTTCAGTGTAACGTGTACCTGTGGGTGCAGATCAGAGTGAGACCCATCAGTCACAGCTGGCTCATCATTAAGGGTGATGGATTTTGCTCTGCGTGTGTGGCAGGTGTTTGAGCCCTCCCAGGACAATGGTCAGGTGCACAGTAAGCTGAAAGAGGGGAGATTTAGATTAGATATCAGGAAGAAATGTTTTCCTGTGAGGGTGGTGAGGCAGTGGCCCAGGTCGCCCAGAGAAGCTGTGGATGCCCCATCCCTGGAGGGGTTCAAGGCCAGGCTGGATGAGGCTTTGAGCAACCTGGGCTGGTGGGAGGTGTCCCTGCCCATGGCAGGGGGTGGCACTGGATGATCTTTAAGGTCCCTTCCAGCCTTAACCATTCTGTGATTCTATTTCTTGCAGAAATGCAGAGATGACAAAATGTCATGCAAAAGATTTTTTCCGTCTGTTTTTTAAATGACATTTACTTTTTTTTAAGAGTTTGAATTGATGGCACCAAGTATGAAAAAGTTAGTATTGCCATCGTAGCTTGCCAGTATTTAATTTTACTCAGTCATGACAGTTTAGAAATAGAGCAAGGGTTAAAAAAAAATTTCTACCAGACAACAAAAGGATTAAGGCTTAGGAGAGAGATCAGGATATCTCTTAATCTGTGAATTGTATTTCATTGATAAAGAGGAAGAAGAGCTTGAAGTGCCTTTGGAGGGGCTTGGATTTCAGCAGCAGGAGTCACGGCTTTGTCAGCAGATGAAGATGGCCACTGTTGCCCCATCATCAGAGCCTGTTTGCTGGCAAGTGGAATCGGTGACCAGCACAAATTCAGGACGTGCTTGTACCCAAGGTAGGAGCTTTCTCTGCTTCAAACAGTTCTGAAAATGGGTGGTTAGCTGTGGGATCAGTCTGTAGGGATTGATCGATTAGACAGTTGTGATGCATATTCCTCAGTTTCTCTGCCTGCCTTGCAGTCAGGTATTCCAGAGTTTAGGGACATTCCTGGCAATGTCCCAGCTTCCTAGGAAAGTGCCTTGTCGTCCCTTAATGGTTCTTCTTTTTGGTGCATGACTCACATGCTAAATACCACGGCAGCAAAGCCAAATAAAAAACCTCCCAGTACCAGGCTATCATGCTATATAGTTTGTGCATCCTTTGAAGCAGAATTTTTCTTTTAATTGAAATCTTACATAGGGCAATATGACAACACTTTGGATTACACTGCTGGAATATTTAGCAGAAGGAAATGGTTTTTCACAAAGCCTGACTCACTCGGTCTGAGTAAACATAAAATCCAGCATTACAGCAGTTAATGCTTTCTATCCCTCATCTGCCCACGTCCCAAGAGAAGTGGATGTTGGTGTTTTAATCGAAAAAATGTAAAGGTTGGCATTTCAGGTGGCCGTAATCTAGAGATACACGTTTGGGATATATCGTTTTTACTTATTTGTGAGAGGCAGAGCCTGTGTCTGATTACTGCAGCGTTTCGCGTCTCTGCTCTGAAATGATTGCCCATGGAGATGGATCACTGACCTTGATGGAAAACTCTGCCTCATCTGTTGTGGCAGTTCTTACGTTCTGGTGTACAGTTGAGAACATACAATTCAATTTTACATCCCTTAGTAGTTGGTTCTACAGCTGGTTGTTTTTCAGGATAGCATCAGGAAGCTGGCATTTTATTTTGCTGTGTGTAAGTGGCCATGTCACTTCCAGAATCTGTAAGAGATGTATTTGACAAGCCTGAATCTGAAAAAATGTATATGAACAGTTGTTGTTATTATCAGTGTGATAGACTCTGGTGTTCTCATTCAGATAACTTAAAAAAAAAAATGGTTTTGACTCCATATGAAGCAGCATTATTGGTAAGAAATTAAGAACAAATTCTCAGTTTCCAATGTTGAAAGCATTGTCTTCTACTTTTTGTTGTTGTGTATGTATTATTTTGTAATGTGGTAGTGCCTAAGGAAGGGCCGGATTCCTCTATTTCGTGAGATGAGCCCTGTCTGAGCAAGTGTGCAGTGTAAAGATCACAAGCTGAGACCCTTAGGAAGTATGCGGAAATGATGCCAACTAGCGCGGCAGACAGTGGCATGAGCACACCAAGGAAGTTTTTATGGCAGGATTTGAAGAGAGTAATGAGGAAAGTTTGATGGGTGTTACCATATATTTTTCTTAAATTGCTGAGGAGTTGCTATCTCAATAATTAAAGAGGCAATGCTATGGTGGAGGAAATTAAGACTCATAAGTTACGTAGCTTTATTTGTTGCATTAGAGAATGAAGAGGCAGCTAGAAAGTGGAAAGATAAGATGATTGCATCTGAAACAAGAAGTGGGAAAATGGTGTTTGTATGAGCCTGATAACTAGATGTAGATGGGTCAGTGCCGCACTGCCACTTGTCATGCTTGGACAGACTGAGTTTCTCCTGCCCAGTAAGATCTTTTTAAATTATTACTGGTTTCCAGTTCTCATAGAATCTTGAGGCGCTTTCTTCTTCTGTTTCTGACCCTTAATTAAAGCAAGGCTTGAAGAAAGGCTTTCTGAGCCAGACAAATGTCTTAACAATGAAGTGTTCACTCTTCTTTGACACCTGAAATCCTAGGTAGCTTCCTAACGTTTTTTTTCTTCTTATTTTCTGTTTAGCCTCCAGTTCCAAGCCTGAACTCAGCTCCAGTTCACAGACTTTGGGAAGTCAGCAGAACAAGACAGATGGCACCCGAGTAAAAACTCGTGTTCTGCCCAACATGCCAAAGCTTTTCATACCTTCATCTGTCACCAAATTTCCACCTGAGATCACTGTCACTCCACCCACTCCCACCCTCCTTTCTCCAAAGGGCAGCATTTCAGAAGAGACCAAGCAAAAATTAAAGGTAATAAAAGGGAAACAGTAATTTTTTGTATTATTGTTTTTATTTTAATTCTCAATAAAATACTTTTATGAAAGGAGCAACAGTTCTTGTCCCTAGTTCATAACCAGAGACAGAATAAGTAGTGGAAGAAGATGCTAGCTGTTATCAGCAGGAGCCAGTTTTAAAGGACTGGTAAAAAATTGGCCGTGGGTGAAATTGTAGCTATCCTAGTCCTTAACCCTTTTCTGAGGGAATTAGAAAGAATTGCAAAAATGGATAAGGAAGCTAGTTCAGCCATTGCAATTCTTATGTTAGTGGAAGCTACCAGAATATTAACTGTGGGGAAGCCTACTGGTAAATGTTAGGTTGTTTCACGTTAGGATGCTGTGTCTTTTATGGAAGTAAGAGAGCTATTGAACATGAAGGAGTAGCAACCAAGTGGCTTTTATCCCTGTGATCATGGGTTTATCCTGACTATTTAGCAATATATTCTCTCTCTCTCTTTTTGGGGTCAGTCTGCTATTTTGTCTGCTCAGTCTGCAGCGAATGTAAAGAAGGAGAGCCTTTGTCAGCCAGCTTTGGAAATCTTAGAGACCTCAAGCCAGGAGTCCTCACTGGAAAGTGATACTGATGAAGATGATGACTACATGGACATATGAACGAATTCTGGCCATCATCAACGCCAACATAACCATTCTTCTTGTTGCCAGCATCTGTGGCGGTCGAAACATCTTCGTTGGCATTACTCTCCATTTAATCTGCATCATTGTGTTCTTCACTTTCATTACCTTTGTTATCACCACTACCACTGGTATTGCCTTCAAAATCTTCGCCATTCTCCCCATCACGGTGCTTGACGGAAAGGATGATGTTTACCAGGCAGTTCATTGGTTTGGATCACGCTGTCACCTTTAACTTCAGTAAATGCAAGGATGTTTTAAGCTGCAATTCACATCTCTCTGCTGTTCCTGCTTCTTCAAACCAGAGCTTTGGGAGTCACTCCGGTAGCTCTTTTCTGTAGCATTTTCTTCCTTTTAGTTGTTGTTTTGCATTTTCCCCACTAGTTAAGTTTTTCTCCCAGTAATTCGACAACCTAATGTCTGCCCAGCCTTGCCACAATTAGTCCAACAGCTCCTTTTAAGGTGAGTGGAGTAGGAGAAATTGCTGAGCTGGTAGAGGTTTTGATTGCATCAAGAAAGTCTACGGCTCTGCTGTGGGGTGAGAAGGGTGAGCTGAGAGTCTGTCAGCACCTTGGCACTGCTGGGTGTTTGGTTGGAATTTGACTCCGTGACAATAGGCAAAGAACCAGCTTTTCCAGGCAGACAGAGAGGTTGGCCTCCTGTTTGTGCTCATTTCACACCAATGTATGAGGTCCAGCAAAAATGATCTACCTGACCGTTGGCTTAAAGAACTGATCTTTCCTGAATTGTCTTACAGTCCTTTCTCTTCTAATGCCTTGGACAAGCATTTTGAATTGGGGGCTAGATGATATTTTTATGGTGGTATTGAAAAAACTTGAAAGATTTCGATACCATTTCAGTAATGTCTGTTTTTTACAGAATGACACATAAAGGTGTTTTTTATCTATCTGCAGAGGGACTGCTCGCAGTTATTTATATGAGAAAATAATGGTAACAAAGATCCTTTTTTTTCTACTAAATGTTAACTTTGTAAAATAATGAATGCAAACCATGCAAAAAAAAAATCCATGTCACACTATATAGACACATGCGTGCGCCCACACACATATATATGTGTATGTACATATATATGTATGTATATGAAAAAGAGAACGCATACAGCTTGCAATGTCGGATTTCTTTGTGTTCGGGGGAGGTGGTTTTCTGTAAAATGCAGAGCTTTGTATAAACTTTTGGGTTTTTTTCTAATAAAGTTGAAATGTACTGATGTCTCTGATTTTGTCTGAGAGGGCAAGGTGCCATGGTTCTGGAAAAAGGACTACTCCTCCCTTCCTTTTATTTCTTGGATAAGAAGGCAGTGGGGGAAGGGGGCGGGGGGAAGCCGCCTCTTTTTCCGAAGGCTGCCAGAGCTCTCTGGATGGATTTGGTCTTGTGTGACCCAGAAGCTGGGTCAGCCGGTGTTGCCAAGATTGCCTGCCATGGGTTCACTTCCCCAGTGAGACAGGATCTGAATTCTTTTTCACCTATCCAAATACCTTTGAATGCTGATGAACAATATAAGGGGGAAGACAACACGTGGTGAACAAGACCACGTAGAATATTTGTCTGTACAAATTAGCATTTAATCCACTACTACAGTGATTGCTCTCATTCACCGTAAGAGTGGTGATAAAAAGATGCAGCACCAAACTTTGTTTTGCAAGTTTATTCTCATAGTCTAGGTTGTTTGTTTTGGACCAAATGTAATTTATAAACAAGTGAGCATGTCCATCTTGGGCGTATTAGTAACTGTTTGTGTAACTTGTTCACTTGGTACAAGCCATAGGTGAGCTGGATGCAACTGATGTGGAAAAGATCAGGTTACTGAATGGTAAAAACAAATGGGTTTTTGCAGTGGTAATATGTTTTCAGTGTTGGTCTTTAATTTGGTGTAAGTTGTTATCAATACAGTGTCTAGCATACTGTATAGTCAGTGAGTGGTAATTAGCTAAGGGAGCTTTAGATAATCAGGCATGATTTTTAATTGTTTTAGAAGGTAGCACAGGAAAAAAGAAACCAGCTTTTGAGAAATGGAACACAGCTCGGAGGATCTAGTTCTGAATAGGGCTCTTTCTCTCAAATAGTGTATATTCTCAAATGTATATTGGCTAACGTGTATTCTCAAATTTATGGCTCACTTTAAGATCACATTTAAATTGTTAGGTCTGCACTTCTAGCATGGATTTGAGGTATGAAAACAGCATTTGATTTTCTTAATTGAATCTGGTTACCTAAAATGGGTGTTTTTCTTTATTGTTCTTAAGGATTCCTTGGCATTAGATATTTTGCTTTTTTTCTTCTTCTTCTTCTCCAGAACTTGCTAAAATGTCTGATCTTGAACTTTCTTTCCACTTCTAGTCCTGCTTTTTGAGAAGGATTTAGTTTTCTGCTGGTTAAGGACAGCTAGAACAGTAAGTGAAACTGTTCCTGTCAGCAGAGAGAGCTGAACTTTGCTGATCTGCTCTAAACTCATTTTATCTTCAAACTGCACAACTGTGCAACGTGTTTTATCCTGTATTCAAAACTTTTACCTGTTTTTCCTTTTTTTTTTTTTTTTTAAATCTATGATTTTTTTGTTCCCATTATGCTCTCGGGTAGCTCAAGGACTTTTTCTCAAGCTCAGGACGTTACTGAGGCTGAGCTGCACAGGCCACCTCCTTCGAATCCTGCCCTGCTGCTAATGACTGAATATCGTGTTGCTCAGCTGTGGGCTGTCTTCCACAATGGATGTTACTGCAGGTCTGCGCTGAAGGAGCCATTCTTCTTCTATATGTGTGCAATCCTCTCTCTGTAAGTACAGTTCATGTAGTCCTTCACTTCAGGGAATCATACTCTGGAGCGAAGATGCCAACATCTGAAACACCATCCCTAAGGGTACTTGGAGCAAGAACTTCATATCCGGTACCAACAGAACTATTCATTTCATATGGCATCTTCTGAAGCCTGGCAATATAATTTTGAGAAATTTTCAAGAGAAAATTAGCATTATGGTAAAATTGTAGTTAGCTGTAAGTTTACTTGGAGTAATTTCTTTGATTTCAGTCCAGTCCTAGTTGTAATAGCTTGAAATCCAAGCACAGACAAGGTCCAGCATTCTGACTGCCCCCTTTCAGAGCTGCTTATCAAATCTAAACACAATGTCTTTCTTCAGGATTTACTGGGTAACCATTGCTTCTGAAATCTCAGTGTTCCCAGGTGTCCTTCTAATCTGACAGACAAATAAATGGCAGCTACTGGAGTATATTGCTTTTCTTTTTTTTGGTTTGGTTTTTCCCCGTGAAGCTGTAGGGACAGGCATGTCTGGTGCCTAAAGTAAATGTAAAGGCAAATCTGACAAAGTGGGGTGAGGGGGAGGCTTTTACTATTTCCCCCTGTCAGTCATTGATTAAAAAGAAAATCCTTTTTGGCTACTGAAAAGCCAAACTGTTAAGACTTCCAGGCAAATAGCAGAAATATTTTTGTTCCAAAGCAAATGGAAAAATAAATTATTTTGATTCAGATGTTGAGGGTAATTTGTGGATAGCTGATACACTCTCTGGGCTGTTACTGGGCACTGTTTTTACACATGGTAAGAGATCTTTCCCTGATGACCGTTGTTGAGGTATGTAGCACTGGGGTTTGGCTGTGTAACGTAATTTCATTTCCTGGCATAAGGATTATATAATCTGTGTGTAGTCACAAGGACTAGTGTTTTAGTAAGAATTAATTTTGTTGGGCACAGCTGTCATGAGTGGCTTCTGCCCACTGTCTCAGAAATGCTGTTCTTCAAAAGCTATTAATGTTTCATTCCACAACCAAAATATCAAATCAAGGAAGATACTGAGTATCTTCCTTAATTTGATCATGTACTAGGGTTTGTCAGTTGTTGTCTCTTGTTTTGGTTTGTTGGAGTTTGTTTTTTTTTTTTTAATTAGAATGAGATTTCCTCATGAATAATGAAATTAATATCTTTTGCAGCCAAAATAAACACCGTATGGTCAGGGAGAAAGGGACCGGGAAAAGATGAGGAAGGCACGGCAGCCAGAGCTGATTAGGAGGCAAAATGGACTGAATGGAAATGGAGGGGCCAGGTGAGAATAGACTGAGTCTTATCATCCAGGGTGGGGTCACACCATCGTTAAATTCAACATTCTGGATTTGGCAGCGGTGTTGATATTTCAGTTAAGCTGAAAAATCCATCATGTGCGTACAGTGTACGTAGCTTGTGTGTACAGTGTTACCACTGGCGCAAAGCTCATTTCTGCTCCTGCAGGTGCTTGTTGTATTCTTTAAGGAAAAAGGTGGCAGGGTAGATGAATCCCAGAAGAAAAAACAGCAGCCATAAATCTTATGATCTCTTATTCATCTAAAGCCGGAATAAGGAAGCTTTGTTCTTGCAGTTGAAGATGATGGTAAGAACTCCAGTGTAGGTGTTGGGTGTTAATTGCCATCTTTCCCTTTCTTGTAGCTGTTGACTAAGAATCTACTAATGCTAAGCTTTGAAGCGTGCGTCAGAATTTTGGGAGTGACCTTGGGATACTGTACCTCAGGCTGTATGAGCCCAAGCTGTGCCTTTGTGAGAGCTTCCCTGTGGGACTCTCGGCTGTTGTCGCAGGGTGCAGTGTAACAGCTAGCGCTGTGAAGGGTGATGGACCAGCATCTGAGGCTTGCTGGCTTTTGGAGAACGACTTATCTTCACTTGAATGGTTCTTCCACATTAATTCCCTGAGACTCTAGGCAAATATCACCAGAGATTTAAAGATGCGTCTCTTCTTGTTCCTGCTGCTGTTTATCTAATGTGTGTATGAGGATGACACCCCATCAGCAAATGCCTGTTAGCCAGCTCCAGAGCCCTTGTTCCATGGTCTTCAAAGCTGGCTTAGAGCTCAGCAACCTCTGCGTAGCTTTGTTCATGTAATGCGGGTGTTCTGCTTCCCGTGGATTTCTTTGGCCGGGGGTCTTTTCTGACCCTTAAAAAAGAGTTGGGGCCATATGGAACATGCATGTTTGTTTGATTTCCCCCCCTCGCCACTACCCACCAGCCATCTATACGAAGCACACGAGCGGTTTGCCATGTCTTTAGGAGTTCAGTGCTTGGAGAGGCTCTGATGCACACTCAGATTGCAACCTTGCCATGCTCAGAGGCAACAGCACAGCAGCTGTGGATGTCAAGGGGCTTCTCTGTATGTTGTGTCAAAAATATTTTCTGTCCTATGGATGGATAAGAGCAAGGCAAGTGGCAGGTCTGGCTGGAGTGCAGTCTCCAGGCTGTGAGTACATCTGTGCGTAGCCCTGTGCCCAAAGTCATCCCGTGGCACATGGGAGCAACACTGGCTGCTCTGGTAGCGCTAGAGGGGGCCCTAGGGACGGGGGGGGGGGGGGAAGGGAAAGCCCCCACCCCAAACCCTAAAATGGATGACCATGATCTATCTTTAAGCTTTTGAAAGACTGAATTAAATTGCAGGGTTTGACCTCAGTTACTTCTAAGGGCCTTTTGCTACCGTATGGCCTTTTCATTATACCTGGTCTGATTCAAAGCAGAGGGAATGAGAATCCCCATAGTCTGTTTACAGGATTCTGTCCCATGTTCCTGGCCATAGGAAAAAAAAAAAAGCTCACTTTGTTACCACTAATATTGCAATTTAGCAAGAAAACAGATCCACTATATACTTGCTTTTCACACAAAATCTATTTGCCCCGTAACTGTTTTTCCCTTTTTTTAATTCCCCTATAAAAAGCCTATTGGGTGTTTTCCATGTTCTTAATGTCCAGCATATTATAATGGGGGAGAGA